ATAGACACAAATGTGTCTAGTGTTGTCGCCTCAACCGTTCCTTTTGAAAGATTGTTCCAGTCCCTGATTGTCTTGGGCAGGAATGAGCAGCTCCTATACTGGCTTCTTGCTGGTATGAGCCTGAATTGCCTGTTATGAACGAACTTAGTGAGGCGAGTTGAACCCTAGCCCAAGGAATAATTTGGGTTCCTGATAGGCGATGGCTCAATTTCATTTCCAGTGCCAGTATTTCCAGCCTTGCCCTTTTCAAAATATCAAACAAATTGCAGTGCGCACTATGTAAAAAAAAAACAATCCACAACTGAGACTGTTGCAAGGGAACGCAGTGATAACTGGTCATCAGCTGGTCTTGGCGCATATGATTATAATATCTGAGGGATTAAAATAAGGTGCTGCTCTCAATTTGATACTCTGCCACTCTACCCTACTTTATTTATTGGCAGTTAATAAGGTCATGTTTGCATTGTTTTTAAAACAACATGTGTCAAAATCTATGTCGAGACTATGTATCAACGCAATTAAATATTATTATGCGCGTTGAACATTCATTGGTTGATATTTTTGTACTAAATAAAATAATGAAATATCATTGAGTTAGAACTACTCACTCGACCTCTCCACCTTTAACTTTAAGAGTATATGATGTACATGATCCCATGACTTTGTAATGAAGAAATAGTAACAGTACAAAATGAAAACATTAAAATTGGGACTCAATATTTGGAGTAACAGTGAAGTCCATAGTAATAAAGGGAAAACACTCACATTCTAAGAAATTCATTGCTCAAAAACTATGGCTACCAAAGACCAAAGCCAGCAGGCTTTAGACTAAACCTAGTAAATGTTATTTTCATTCTTTTAATTTAACGTTTGATTTATACAACTGTTAAATTTTTTTAATTCATTTTTTTAAAACTGAAACTACAACTGTTTAACTTTTTCTATTTAAATTTGTTTACTCTTTCATAGTGCAGGTACTCTAGCACTAAGGCCAGGGTATGGTACAGCTAGTGCTCAACTTACGACCACAATCGGTTCCGACAGACCAGTCGTAACACAATTTGGTCGTAAGTTGAGTACGCTATGAGTAATGTGAAGTGATGTTATAAAAATATTTAATTTAAATTATATCATAAATTTCTTTTATTATTGTTAATATTCTCTGTTCATGACCGCCGATGATTGCAGACAACACCGTTCGACTGATAATTGAGGCAGAAATAAATCTGAAATCTAGTACAGTATGGCTAGTGATTGTGGTCATAAAGTCGAATGGTCGTAAGTTGCATAGGTTGTAAGTCGAGCACTAGTTGTATATAGTATGTTGAATTTCCAGCCTTTTCCTGTCTGTGATTTTTTGCAAAAACATTTTAAAGTTAATGATAATGATCCACCTTTTGTCTTGAGGATCCCATGTCATATAAAATGTTTTAAAATATAGGTCTAAATCAAATATAGGGCTAAATAATTTATTTCATTTATTTATGTTAGGAATTCTAAACATATTCATGGGTAAAAACTTCTTTTACTGTGAGAACCATGGGAAGGACAATGTTTTTGTATATCTGAAATTATAATTTATGATATAGAGCTATATGGACAATGACCATTGTTAAAACTGGTTGTTAGCTGGGGAAACCTCCTCTACTTATTATTAATCTATCTAAACAAAGTAATTTCAACTGATCATGATCTAGAGGCCAAACTGCTGTTTTCAAGAGGTTTTAGAACATGTAACATCATTCTTCATGCTAAAATACAATTCTCAAAGTTTTTTTTCATCCCTGTGTGTAATATAAAAAAGTATAGATCATGAACTCACTCGTGCTTAATATTTAATTTAAATCTCAATAAGGCTAAAAGGAAATTTGTTTCTACTGCATATCAATTAAGTGCAAATTGTGGTAGGTGTCATTAAACAAAATTAAATAAATGGAGTGGAGCCTTATATTGGATATTGTCCATGAAATTGGGGGCTTATGTTCAAGATATGATTTGGCACTAAAAGTTATCAGATTGACATTCAAAGCAATATCTACCATATCTGATGTGACTATTTTGTTTGAAATTATTAAAAGTGTGGCTTGGCGTCCATAGTATGAAATAAGTGTCAAGATATCTGAACATTAAGGCAAGTCCAAGACAACTGTGTTATACAATTCTAGTTACAATTTAGGCTTACCGATATTAACTAGGGATGGCTGTGTTTCAAAGGGATCCAATTTGTACAGTGAATGAGGCTATTTAAAGCTCACAAATGTCGTTTTTTTATTTTAGTATTTTTTTTCCCCTGACAATGGAAGACTTTAAATTGCACTACATTAATGTTCAAATTTTCTTGCAGGAATCTGAAGGAGAAACTCCGGATGTAGGTAATAAATTCATTATTTTAATAGTTTAAGTGAGATGAACAGATTTGAACAAAAATGTATATTTATCATATTGATTTGTGCCATATGAAATGTATGTGAGGATGAAATTTCTTCATTATTTTGGACCATTTAATGAATCTCTAAAAAACTTCAAAATCACTTTGCATGGAGCCTAAAGATAAGACTGAAATTTCTGTTTTATTAGTTGTAAATGACATATTTGTAAGTATTTAAATGCACTAATACGTTTTTGTTTGACATGAAAAAATTTACATGTCTTTTTTTTATGCAGAGTTATCTGAACATGAAAGTGCAGTTGATGAAAATGCGGATCAAGAGGTAACAATTTTTTGTATATTCACTATTTTGGCAATTTTTCATTTGTATTTCTGGTAGTTGTAAATGTCCCCTCTTCCATTTCCAGCAGAGAAGAGGTTCTTGCTATTTGTTCATTATTAAATTTAAAAATCTCTTTAACCCTGTTAAATCTTATTTGTTGCTGGACATACAAAAAGTCTTGCAATATTCCATCGAGGGCCAATGAATTGTTGGTTTTCTTTTTAGCAATTATATTTTCTGTCCCGCTGAGTACATAGTTCTGCAATATTTATACCTTTTCTGCCTGCAAAGTCAAATACTTTAATATGAACATTTATTGTATTGCATACCAATCAACACTTCAAATGATGATGAATCTTTTTAACTCTGTTTTTTTTTAATCAGGATGAAACAGAAGAGGGAAGTGAAACCGAAACTGAAGAAGGTTCAGAAACAGAATCTGAGAGTGGCTCAGAGACAGAAACAGAAGGTGGTGAAGGGTACTCGGATGAGGAAGGACTAGAGGAGGAACGTCAAAGTGGGGATGGAGAGGTGAGCGAGCTTAATTATATTATTATATAGTCTCAAGGCTCTGCTGTTAAAGAGATATTTTAAACAATACTGTTTTCAGGATTCCAGAATAAACAGCAAGTAAAGTAAGAAATGCAATTTTGATGCTTAATCTTTATAATATTAGCCCAGTTTCTTGTGCTTCCAACTGCATTCAGTACCGTTACACATTTAAGTGCGTTGTCTGTGCTAAATTAATTTGGAAACATTGATGTACATTTTCAAGCAGAATTTTGGGTAATCACATTTTGCTGAAATTCATTCGACATGACTTCCCATGTAAGTGTTAAAATATTCTTAGATTGTTCATATGTTAACAAATCAAGATAACATTATCTTATTCCCAGGAGCAGCCAAACAGTGATAAGCCTGATGATGATGAAGATAAAAAGAATCCAGCATATGTGCCTCGTAAAGGTGCCTTTTATGAACATGATTTTCGACAGGGTGATGAAGGCCCAGAGGGTGTAGAGGAAAAGGATGATTCCAAGTATGTTTCTATTTAGCTAGCCTTTTGTTTGCAACATAAAAATGACTGCTTACTGCAAAATATATTATTTTTACTATTGTGCCAAGAGTAATCATTATTTTCATACTTACTGATCAGAAATAGTAGAATACTTTTACATAGCTTATGTAAATTAACATTAAAGAATTAAATCAAAGAATTGTTTGATAATGTATTAATGTAACACTTAAGACAACCAGTTATGAATGCAGTTCACTTTATTTTAAGTAATTATAGTACAAACCAAATTTATTTCTGAACCTGTCTATGGTACATAGTTATTTTTGGCTGTAAACAAATTGGTAAAATTTGTGAACAGGTTAAATTTAATTAAGTAAAAATCCATGTAAAAGTTGTTGTTGTCTAAGGAGCAATTTCAAAGTATTAAAAAAAAAAAAAATTAAAATAATATAAATTTTTCAATCAATAAAACACAATCCTATTGTTCCTTACAGACCTAAGAAAAAATTATGGCAGGATGAAGGTAAATGGTCACATGATAGATACAGTGATGACCTGCAGGCACCCAAGTCACGAGAGGAGCTCATTGCCACTAATGGGTATGACATTCGAGCTGCTGACAAGCCTCCTGAAGCTGCTCCTAAGAGACCTAGCAGGTAAGTTGTATTGAATAATTTAATGGGATGATTTGCAAATATTGCTTGTGGTTGAATGGAAATTCATATCTCAAGTTTTATGATTTAAAAAATGATATATTAAAATATGTCAGATCGGTTATTGGTGTAAGCTAAATTGAAAGGAGAAATTTATATAAAGGGTTTTTTTTTCAAATGATGAGATAACCTCTGGCACACACTTTAAAGAGATTATTAAATATGCCTTATCTTTACTGACAATAGTAGTTACCTTAGTACTTAGTATAGTACACATCAAAAAAAAAATTATTTTTTGCACTATCATTCAGAGAGAAAGGTCCAAGAAAGCACAGAATTCAAGACTTCATTCCTCAGATGGCTGTTATAGATACAACTGAGGATGGATCAGATTCAGTACCCAACTTAGGAGATGAAGAGTTGATTCTCTACGATGGACCACCATCCAGAAATGCAAACAGAAGCCATGTGCGCAACACTGATAGCAGGAGGGGTGGAAGGGGAAGGACAAGGGTGAATGTTGCGGGTGAGGTCGAGAATTACAACAACCGGAATCGCGAAGACGCCAATCAGTATAAGAATGAAAAAAATTCTACGGACAATAGGATATCTTCAGACAATAGTAAGCCTGAAGAAATACAATCAGCGGAGGAATTCCCTAGTCTTGAGGACACAGAAAAGACAATAAAGCAAAGAGAGAATCAAGGAGGGAAGAGAACAGACAATTATGAAAAACTGAAGAGTGATGCAACAAAATTTTTGGTTGAAAAAAGCCCTAAAACGTATCCAACAGAAAGAGATGGCAATCAAAGAAAAGGATACCGAGATAACAGGGGTGGGAAAATCCAGCAAAGCCAAGATGCACGACGACAAGATGATGTTCGAGAAAATAATAGATATCAACAAGGATACAGAGATGAAAGAAAAGATGTAAACATTAAATCGGGTGGACGGGACAGTGATTTTTATAACAGAGGTCCTGAAGAAAATTGGAGATCGGCTCCCAATGAACACAGAGAGAGCTATAACAGAGGGGATGATTACAGGCGGGGCAGCAAGCAAAACTTTGGCTATGGAAGGCAACAACAACAACAGTACAGAGATAATAGAGGGCCAAGGGCGGGCAACTCTGGGGACGGGTACTTTAACTACAACAACCGTGGGAATAGGTATGAGCAGCCACCGCGCTACCAGCAGCAGGTTGATGTGGCGTCTCCTAAAGAGCCAAGGGAATACACGAACACATCATACAAATCTGCAGATGACAAGACAAAGCAACGGCAGAGTTACAATGGGGCCTCACCTAATGTAGCTAATGTGGTTACGGATGGTGGTGATGGCAGTACTTCACAAAATGTTGTGTTTTCTAACAAGGAAAATGTGCAGACAATAAATGTTACCATCACTAGCACAACAACTGAAAAGAAATCGTATGCTAAGGAGCGCAGGGCTAAAGGATCATCTTCTAAGCCTATAGAGAGTGCCACAATAATGGGGAATACAGAAATGCAAAAACCTGGTATGTGCTTTATTAAATTAAAAATTTAAATTTTTAAAAATGATCAGCTATAAATTTACAAGAAAACTTCTCAAATCTGTTTTTTTTTTTTTCCAGTTGTTCAAGGGTCTGGCATGCAGTATCAAGTTCCGAGTCAAAGTAATATTAAGGTGGATCCAAACTCCATACATCAGGCTGGTGCCAAACGATATTCTTCTCAGAGACAACAGACTCTTGTCAAAGGAGTATACTCTGAACCACCCCCAATGGAAAATAGTGGTGCTAAACTTTACAACCCAGGCATGCTCTGATTTTATTCTACATTTCATTTCTTTCGCTTTACAGAGCTTGAAAAACTATCTCAAATTTTGAAAAGTGTTTAGGTGTTATACTTAGGAAATTAAGTATTTGCATTTAATATAATTTTTTCCTATTTGAATCATAAAATGACTGATAAATGATTATCATTAAAAATGTATATTTTTTGCTTTTTGTAATTTTTCCCCCCTTAATTCATACGTTTCCAGCTTTGCCTCCACCCTCATATTTTCGGGATCATGGGTCTGTTAATCCTGGCCAGCATCCCACACCTTCTTCTCCAGGTGTTCAAGATCCTACTCATTATCCTCCCCCACTTCTTCCTCCAGCTGCTGCATTGCCCTATGGTTTGCCAGGTAAAAAATTTTCATAGGTTTATAAATATCTATATTTATATATGTATATAAGCTTTTACAGTATTATATCCATTTACTGATATAAGAAGAAAAATAACTATAGTAAAAAAAATTCAACTCATTAAACACAATTTGATTCAAGTTAACAAGGAATACTGTGCCTTAATCCTCTTTAAATAGCCATAATGAAGACCATAATCATATTTAATTAGTTTTTAATTCACAAATTGGAAATAAATGATTGCTCCAAACATCATATATTTTATGTTCATATTTTTTAATGATATTTTAAAGCAGTCACTTAGCAAGTGGCTTCTAATACTATTAATAAGTATTAACAAGTGTTTAAGTTATTGTTTCTCAACAAAAGATTTAATATTTTCTTTATTTCTAACATGGCAGCAATGTTTAGCCCCTTTAACTCTTGATCCTTGTTTTTTCCATTTCAAGTTTCCACCACAGTTCTGCCACTTCCACCAAGTGCCCCCGGGATTGCTAATCCAGCTTTGTTCCAACCAACAACTGGCCCTCCCCCTGTTGGAACAGGTATCTTGGGTTCACCTTACCTTCCTGCAGGAATGATGTATGGAGCAGCACCTAGGGTACCCCCACCAGGAACCCCAGCTGGATTTCCTATGTCCATAGCATACACGTCCCCTCCTCCACCTGCAGCTGCTGTAGCAGCCGCTGTTGTTGGTAACCAGCCACCACCGCAAGGCACTGTGCAACAACCAGGCATTCAATCAGCTCAGGTATACCAAGTGGGACAAATTAATAGTTACAGTGCAGAGAATCTCATTACAAATACTAAATCAATTGGTTTCTTACTATTACTTACTTAAAAAATTAACTTTAAGTTTTTGTCTTAATGTTACTGATACTTAACTTTAAATATTACTGATAATTAGCGCAAAATCTAAATGCTAGCTATTTCGCTGAAATTTAACACTAGTTTCATTGTGTAGTGAAAATTTCAAATATTTCTCTAATCCCCACTATTTGCAGCATAAAAAAGTTTATAGAGGGGATATAACCTACTATGCTCCAGAGCTTCAACAGCCATCACGCACTCCCCAGAAAAGACCCAAAGCAGCAATTCCAATTATAGATCCACAGGTTTGTCAATTTTAAAATGTGATAAACTCTTTTACAGCCCCAAGTGATCTAATAATTTCTAGTCATTCTGTTGAACTAATTTTTAAATAGAAAATATTTATGAAAAATTTTTTTGATATAAATTATAAAAAATTTAACAAATGAATGCATACAGTACTACGGCTCACTCAGGAATAAATAAACATTTTTATAAACTTTTTACCCATCCATCCCTATGATGCTACAACCCATGTAGGGCTTTGGCCTGCCTCCCTACTTCCTTCCAATCAGACCTAACTCGTATCTGGAAATTTTTTTGAAAGAAATTTCGTAGACGGAAAATTGATAGACGGAAATTTGATAGAACGGAAATATGTTCGAATCTTTTTTTCAGTTTACATGTTAAAATTTTCGTCAAATTTCTTTTTGAAGGCACTATACTTTAGAATGTTACTGTTAAATAATATACAAGTTAAGAACTTGTTAAAACTATCTGCTACACTTTAAATGACCATAGTTAATGTTATTTAAAACAGTTTATTTATTTTATAGGTCATTAAAACTAGGGTGTCCAGCCAAATTGAAAGTTAAAATGGTTAAAGTCAAAGACAACTGGAAGTTGCAAGTAGTGCAATCGGATCGGATTTAGTTCATGCTAACCACATGCTGTCCCAGGAGGTAAGATGTTATTCCGGATACATGCTTTTAATGTATTTCTATTGTACTTGTATAGTATACATTAGATTCTTTTAAGTTATAGGCTACACTTAGATATATATTTTTTTTTTTACATACTCAAATTGCTTTAATTTCCTTTTTTATTTAGAGTGTTAATGCATTGCCTGAGAGGAGAAAGGTCCAGCTAACCCCAATGTTGAACACGCTGCTTCAGTATACTGCATCACGTGAGATGATGCAATGTTTGATTAAGTATCCAGAAGTTTTAGTAATGGATATTACCTACAAAACAAATATTTATAACTTGCCTCTTTTAACTATAATGGCCGTTGACAGCAATGGCAGGGGTCACAAATAAGTAAGCTATCAAAATTAGCATCAATTTTAAATTCAAATGCCAGACATTATAATGCCCAACTGATTGATCCAGTTATTAATCAAATAAAAAATGATTTAACACATTTTGCTGCTGAATATGTTGCTCAGCAATTTCTATCTTTAGGAAAAGTTGAGTTTCATTGTACTCAAATAACAAGTGAAACCTTCTTTTAATGTTTCATGTAGTGGTACAAACACACAATCTGTCGCAACATATAGTGGTTGCACTTGTTATTTTTTTAAAGTTTTGATTTATACTGTAAACATGTAATGTTTGTAAGAAAGCAGAATGGACTTTCCATTTATGAACCAGTGACTTGTAACCACAGGTTCAAAAATAAGGCTCATTTTGACTGCCTGCATGAAACTGTACAAAATACTGGTGCTATTAATGAACACAATTTTTCTAATGTAAATCTAAGTGCCCCAGAGGACAAATATGTATTGACCTTTAAACTTGTTAGTGAGATTTCCTCTTATTTGCCTTTGCTTGGAGACACTGATTTTAAAGACAAATATCTTCAAGTCAGGCATTTAATCTATCTCTTGCATGGCATTGATTCCTGCAAGGACATGTTGGTAGCAGATGTTGCAGTCAGTGCTCCTATTGAGTCTGTTTTTACAAATACTGATATCACTGTGCCTAGTGTTGATTTAAATGTTGATTCATTACCCTGTGCTACTACTAATACTGTTTTCATTAATGATGTTGAATTAACATGCAGTGAACCTACAGTTACTGCATTAACTGATGCTGATTCAATACATTGTCCATTTGTTAATAATATACCTTCCACTACTACTGTTCTTATTAATGGTGTAGATTCACTGACATGTTATTCAACTAGCGCCAATTGTAATATAGTTGATTCACTGGCTTGTTCTTCTGCAAAAGCCGTTAGTTTAATTGATGCTCAATCCTTACCTTGTAAATCC